ACATAAATTCTACTAGCCGGCAAAGTACTTACAAGAACTGTGTTAAAATACAAAAAAAAGTTACAATCCTAACTTCAATTTGTGATTCTCACGGTGACTACCTTAGGAAATACATATTATTTTGATCTGGACACATCAATTACTATTGGCACTTGTACGTGTCTTAAAGTAGAGTGCAGATGCCCTAAATACTTCGTCAATGTCCTCTGTGCTAAACAGCGCAGAAGCACACTAAGAAACAGTTCTGACTTCAGCAAACTTCCCATATATGCACGCAAGGAAAACAGTGAGAGAAGCCTGTACTGCATATTTCAAAGTTAAGTTAAATTTGCTAAAAGAAAAAAGAAATGTGGCTCCTTTTACACACCAGAATCATGCAGCTAAGACACTGTAGTATCACAGTATTTTTTAAATTATTTCTTAAGTAGGAGTGCAGCTGATATATCACTGGTTCCTTTTTCAGCTTTCAGTGGCAAATGTTCACGCATGTGTTTAATTTTTTATATTGTGATTACAAGATGAAGCTCAAGCCCCAAGATACCTTCATTTATTAAATGTATCAGTTTAACACACACACACACACACACACACACACACACACACACACACACACACACACACACACACACAATTTCCTTACAACACTGTCTTTGTGCATGTTACTCCAGAATTTAAAAAAAGGGAGGTGGGAATGAAGTTTCACCAGTAGTTGTATTTTTAAAATGTAAGCATAGAGCAAATAAAAGGAGGTTGTGTCAAAACTACTCACCAGTTCTGTTGTGGTCTCAGGAATTTTCACTTTTAAAAGGTCGTCTTGGGCTGTGGCTGTTTTTTCCTACAAGGACTGGGGTCCAATTTTCAAAGGCTTATGTTTTCGCACTAGAGACAGGCACAGTGGGGAAGCTAAAGGAGGTTTAGTCACCGTGGCACTGCATGTCTTCTGGGGCTATAACTAACTTTAACTCTCACTGCCCTAGGGATGTTCTGACTATTACTTTCCCTCCCAAGAGCCTTTATGAACTCCTGCTGCAGAAAATAGCAGTGTAATTGTTGAAACCTACTAGCTGGCTGCAGGAGATTCTGAACACTTGCAGCTGGACAAGTTAAGGAGGCCACGTGACAAAGGATTGCTCAGGCACTACTTCCGTCCCCTGTTACTTGCTAGTAATAGTGTCACGGAGGGCTTTTTTTTGGATAGCTTGAGCCATCTCTTTCACCTGTTGCAATGAGACATCATGGTTAACCCCTTAATTTGCTGAGGCAGCAAAACATCTCAAGCGTTTGCATGCAGGTGGCTACCCGCTGTCCCTCCACTCCCCTCCCCTTCCTAAGGGGTCTGCTGTCCAAGAACAGACTGATACGAGGTGACTAATTCATCACGACATATTTTCTGTGTTGATGTCCTAATGAAAGGCCTTGGTTTCTTACATGTTTCTAGCGCAGTAGTACTTCTCACAGATTTTGTCACATCAAGTTCTTCATAAGGTAATTAGGTTTCCATGTTAGGCTTCTGTGAAGGTACAGATCCTGGTAAAGGGAAGAGCGCGAAGGGGTGATGTGAGTTCTGCACCCTCTTCTCCAGATGGTATAAAGTCTTCTCTAACGGGGACTCATTTGAAAACTTGTGAACATACCTGAAAACAAGGCCTAGAACTCAGCGCTGCAAACCTGTGGGGAAATGTCCTCATATCTCAGCAACAGACATGCTCGTTCTGAGCGCTCTTTTTCTAGCCTCCTGAATCACATAGCTCCACCAGCACCAAAGCCTTAATCTTGTTCTGTATCCTTTTTTTTTTCATCTAGTCTATCTCCCCTGTTCAAAGCAGGGGTCAGCTAGAGCACGTTGCCCAAGGCCACGTCCAGCCAGGCTTTGAGCATCTCTGAGGACGGAGACTCCACAACGTCTCTGGACAACCTTCACAGTCAAGAGATTTTTTTCTTACCTTTAAGTGGTATTATTTCCTGTATTTCAATTTGTGCCTATGGCCTCTCGTCCCGTCACTGGATGCCCCTTCCGTCAGTGAACAAAAGACTGCCATGCATACCTTTATTTCTGCCTTAATGTGCTACTACTTGAATTAACCAACACTAAGAATCAAACTTTTTTTTCCCCCCCCCTCCTTTTAGGGAAGATCGGTTACGGGTTTGTGAAGCCCCAAGTCTTGTGACAGATGTGAAATGGTCTTTCTTTTCTCCTGTCTTCTAATTCAGTCTAAGTGCAGCTCTGACCCCCATATCAAAAGCCATGAAAGAAGAACCACAGTTAAGAATTGCTTTACCCTAATACTGAACCCGGGCACTTGTTACAGGTATGAAGCCCCTCATCCTTTGTCAGGCTTCTCACTGCAAGTTTCTCCACTTGCCTTCTAGTAGTATTTCTGTGACAGGAAATAAATGCCATAGGCCTTCTCACAGAAGGCCACGCTCTGGTCACTAGAGCTTCATGGAGACATGAAGAGTTATCTCAGGCTCCTGTTCCCTCTACTAACCATCGAATAGGTGAGCTGTGTAGAAATAAAAATCATCTTTTAAAGTCTCTGCTAAGCTGAGATCTTTTCCCTGCAAGTTCGCGGCTGGAGTTAATTTTTATAGCCAAGTTACCAAACAAACTGAAAATACCAGGGGTTTATAATGGAAAACCTGGCACTACCTGAAGTAAAATGGAGTAGGCATGCTGCTGTAATAATTCTTTTAAGCCAACTGAAACTAAGCAATGTTAATTATTATTCAAAAGCAAAGCACCCATTTTAAACATTTTTCAGGAAGATGTGCTCCTTTCATTTCCTGCTACCATATATTACTTTATATCATTAACTGTCGTTCAAAGCCAGCAGCCCTTACACGACTGTGAGGACGCTGGTCAGAAACCATCCGCAGCGCACGTGACACAAAACCTGACACATGCGTTGCACTGATCAGCTTTGCAGTCTCATTGTCTTCCGTTGTGTCTTTTCCTCCCCATGGCTTTGCCCGTCCAAACGCTCTGTATTTACACGAGCTGCTGTGGGTTTTTTGTTCCGTGACTAGTTCAGAAAATGAGCACCCCTGTCAGTATCATACAGCATAGCAAAGAATACCTAAGCAATACATACTGGGCCAACATTACATTATGTGTGTTTCAGACCCACGGATACCATGCAGCTTACTCTAAAGGCTATTTTGTTCCACAGTGTTCTTATTTTTTTCAGCCTTTGTAAAACACAAACAGCAGTTGCAACTTATTTTGTCCCTTGCCTACCTCTTACCTGGAGGAAGTAGGGGAAATCACTTTGATTCCTTATATCTGAAGAAGTATCTGGGGAGGAGAGGTGAAAAAACTCCAGTCACAGAATGAAAACTACAGTCAATAAAAGCTAACATGGACTTGAAAATGATACAGAGTCAGACAAAGGCTTTAAAATGTATACTTAAAATGGTCCTATTTCAATATCCGTCTTCTCTTACTATGATATTGGTCATCAGTCTGGAATGATACACACTATTTTCTGTTCTCACTGCAAGGTTGCTGTGAATTAATGGTATGCTTATTTCAGGCCTCATTACGGTCTTTGACACAAGAATGACTTTTCACAGAAGTGAGTGCCAGGATGTTCTGATTCTCATTGAATATTCTCATTAATCCATTCTTAGGACAAAGACTAACGATAAAGAATAAGCACAGATATTAATTATTTTATTTCTCATGGCAATCCTGGGGATGTAATGAGTATGGAATGATCATCCCTTTTTGGTTCTTACAGTAAAGGTTTAAGTATAGGAAAATATTCAAAATTAATTTATTCTTGTAATTAAGCTGTAATAAGACCAGAAGCTTAAGACACATCACATCATTAATTCATTCCGGAGCCAATTTTAAGGACCCAAACCTGTAAGTGTCAATTAGAGTACACAGAGCAGAGGATGCAGGTCAGTGCAGAAGAGAGCATCACAAATGAATTTTTGGAAAATTTATACGCAGAAAATAAATAGAGAACAGTATAGTCCCAAGATGGTAACAAGAGGTAATAATAACGTTAAAAATTATCTGTGTGTTGGCGTTTCTGTTCATTTCCAATGGATCTTCAACACTGGTAGCTGTGCACTACTACAGTTCTTTACAGTTACAGATATCTTTCATCTCAATATGGATGACATATTGACTCTCACTGTAGTTTGTAACAAGTCAACAAATAGTTAGACTGTACCTCATCAGACAGACGTTCTGGTTTTCAAAGACAGCTAACACGGTATTTTTGAGAGGCTTAGTACAGAATAAAATCCAAACAGCCTTCATGACAAATCCGTTGCTGAGAGAGCAAATGCTGGGCACAGGGCATATACCATCACATAAATTTGGAAAGGCATTAAGGAAATCTAGGTAGCTCAAGTGGTTCAAAAGAGTACTAGGCCCTGAATACTCAACCATTTCCTCTACTGGTCTTGTCTTCTCTTCATTTCAATTCTGGGAAGTTCTCTTAAGAAAGGAGAAGGTAAGAAGGCCAATTCTGATTTTCTCTTGTGTTCCATTTAA